ATGCTGTCAACCCTTATAATTCATCTTGCTTCATTATGGAATGTAGATAATTTTTTATTCATTTTATTCTTGAAAAAAATCTGTTCTATGTCAGCCATTAATATTATGAGTTATCAGCCTGAAAGATTTGACAATAATACGTATCTTGTTATTTTATTTGAAAATAGAAATTCTAAAATATTTTCGAAGACTAAATAACTTTCTTTAAGCTAATTCTATAAATAATTTATCTCTTTATATTATTTGATGGAGGAGATGTTTTATTTATTATCAATAAACGGAATTCTTACCTTTATATAAACCCTACATATGAGCTCCATAAAATTTTATAAGTTTTATGGAGCTCATTCCCATTCATTTTTGAGATATTTCAAAGTATATTACGCACTCGATAATCCGTCCCTTAATAATCGTCTTTCTACGAAAATCCTGTTTTCCAGTTTTATCGGATTTAATTTATTATGTATAATATTGCGTGTCAGCGCGCCGTATTGCCTTTTTTTTCCTGCTTATACACACACAATAATCCGGTACTTTCGTTAATCTGGCGCCCTCTGTGCAGGGAATGGCCGGATTAGCAACAGTCTAGTGTACATTACATAATAATCGATTCTTTTATGATTGAATTGAACTGGGTAAAATATTTAAAACTCTATTTTAATAATATGAATTGATATTCGATTTTCAATTTATTTGACGAATGTGTTTTGTACCATCATGGAAGATACAAGAAAATTTGAGATATAAATTTATATCACCGTTTCTCTAATTTTTAATATATTCGATTAATTTTGAAAAAAAAAGAAGAGCAACTTGCGGTATATTCAAATTAATCTTCTGGAGGAATTTGCTTTTTTACGTTTACTTGGCTCAAAAGATCGTACGGAACAATCAGACGAATTTGATACACCGAACTTTTTGTAATGAAGCAGTTGCCTCCAAGTTGTTTCGTGCAGCTGTTACTGTGATTAATTAATTTGTTAGTTTGAAAAACTCTCTCACTTAATAAATGTGTTTATTGAAATTGTGTTAGCGGCATAATGAGTAACGAAGTTCCATTCGATTTTCATTTGTCCCCGACTGAAACCATTTTGGTTCGTTCTACAAGCCAATCTTTTCCTGTATGAAACATTTTATTAATCTAAATATGTGTAGTACATTTACATTTACATTTTTTTTCTTTTTGCTGAATCGATATTGAAAAATCTATAAGACGAAAGAATCAATCTCTGTCTTTTATCCCATCGATCAAAATTTTAACCTGTATTTCGAAAAATATCATTAATCAACCAGGAAAAACATCGAAGGTAATTCGTAATGTCGATAGAAATGCTTTCAAAGAAATTGTTATCGCTTACTATAGAAATTTTATCCGATTTTGTTTTCTTTACTTTTCGATGATATAAACATAAACTGTTTTTGGTTACAGTTATGCCGCCTAAATCAAAATAATCCTAAAATAAAAACCTTGAAGGACATAAGTACCTTAAGATTAAGGACATATGGCATCCGGTTTGATTGCATCATAAACTCTGTTGTTATATGAATAACTTCAATTTACCCCAATCTGGAAAGCCTGAACTGTATTGGGTTTATTTAGGAAAGTATCCTCATTCAAAATACTCATCATAGAAATACTTTTAATGTTACAGAATTCGATACTGCTTTATCAAGAATTGTTTAAAATGGATATTTATTATTATAAATAGTTTTAGAGTAAAGCAATTCATGTAAATTGTTTGTAATGAATTCAATAATTAACGACTCAAAACAATAAACCAAGTTAAGATTTAAGCTTAAAAATATGTGAAATTACTACGATATAAAATTTAATGTGTGTTTAAATCTTTTCTAAAGATTAAACTTTAAAATAGTGATGTATTAATTTTTCAATTTTATGCAATTTCTAGTAAGATTACCTAAATGCAATCTTGATTGAATTTAGAGTGAGAGAATGTTGTATTGGATCCCTAGAGCAAATTGAAAATTTCCTGTCTGTCTCGAACGGATTTCCAGATTTGTATCGAATACGTTAGGGTAGATGGGTTTTTCTATATTTTTAATGAAAAAATAAAATAAAATACTTTAAAATAAAATAATAAATTTTATTCGACTGATTTTCTTATCTTAACGATATAACAGAAATACGATAAATTCAGAATTCATAAATTTAAATCATTTGTATAAATTTATTTATTCTTTCCTGTTTTTATTTTCTAGTCAAATATTGTTATGGTTACTAAATGAAAAATTCGGATTATATTGAAAAAGATAATAGGAAAATGTTTTAACAGAAATATACTGTATTATTTTATTCGTTAACATTACAAAAGTTTGTACTTAAAGATAAAAATCTGGTCCGAAATAGAAGAACTTCTGTGTTTGGATTATAAATAAAGAATATTATGATTGAGGAATCAACACTACGGAATTGAATTTGAATATCAATAGATGAAACTTCGAAGTTACGAATATACCAAGAATTTTCTGAAGTTATATATGTGATTGGATGGTAAGAGAAACAATGCCAAGAAAACAGACTCGAGTAAAAAGTGCATTTATTCCGTTTGCACGGCATTTTAAAGTAAATATTGCTTTTTCGTCGCATGTTATTGAGAACCCTTTTATGAAATATAAAAGAAATATTCAGTTTCCAAGAATTGCGATGCATTAGAGATTTTTCTGGATACTTATACAAAAAATCTCGTGCGGATATGTCTTCGGGTAATTTGATTGATATGAAATAAAATCAAATTACACAGTTTCTGTATTGAATTCAATTTTAGGTTATTTCATTGAATTGAATTTCCAAGTGATTATTCTTTCTTGTTCTATAGAAATGAACTTTGATTAACTGATTCCAATTGAGCTTATAGTTTATATTATTTAATATAAAAACGTTTCTTTTTTGTTACAGAAGCATTCACGTTATTTCAAAGAGATGTCGGCAAACAGTTTATTGTTTTTTTTTTCTGCATGAAAACGTAATATTTATAATAGAAAGTTTTTCAAAATAGGTCTTATGGTCAGAACACCGGTAGTTGGTCCCGGGTTCGCGCTTCACCAATGGGCTGACACATTAAGATTTCCAGGTTTCCTTCGCATGTCTAAATGGGATCAGTTTCCCATAGAAAGCCCTCTCAGGAGCGATCTCTGCTTGGCAGATCGCCCTTGTATTGAATTGTCATCTCATCAAACCAAAACCAAATCAAAATCGACATTATGATATTCTAACCTCACATCTTGGAGTTTTTTTGGAATTTAATTAATAAGATAAAATGTTTACTACCTTACGCTCAGCGTAATATAATGGATGTGCGGTAAAGTGGTAGTCTATCACATTAGTGGATCATGTTCGAACTCGATTTCAAACATCAACTTGTTACGGGAATTCGAATCGGTGATCAAATCTATTCTATTCCTTTGCGGATCAAAACCACTTGCAATAGGAGTGAATGTGGCTGGCGATAAAACCTTATGATGTCAACGATTAGAATTAACTCAGGGGACAATATTTAATCAAATTATGATTTGAAAGAGAAGAATTTGGATATCCTCAACATATTAAAAAATAATACTAATCGCTATTTCTAAATAGCGTATTAAGATTGGTTTATTATACTAGTGAAAGACTATTTCGAAAGTTAGTTTTTTATTAAACAAAAAACTCCCTCTTGGAGAGGCACTTTTACAATCGTTTTCGTATTTGACTTTTATAAATCATCCGAGAACCAAAACTTTTACATTAAAATAATCGATTTTAATTTAAAAATATGCACCATTATGTAAATAATTGAATTCTTAAGTCTTGTTATAAATATATAGTCGATATTCTTCTCTGATTTATTATGCAATAACATCTAGCTATGATGGATGATAGTCGTATAATAGACAGTAATATAACATATTAGATATTTTACTACACAAGAAAAATCATATAATACGTTAAACAATACAGGCTACAATATAAACTAATACTGTAAAACTTTCATTATTGTTAATTAGAAGTAATTAACTAGAAAATCATTCATAATAGATATTTCAGGTTTCTCAGAAAAGTAAACAGTCCACCAGTGTCCGAGTGGATAAAAACATTAAACACTGGTAGTTGGTCTTGGGTTCATGCCTGACTAACGTTCTGGTTGCGTGGATTTTCTTCACGTCTTAACACTTAAATAGCAATAATTAAAGAGATCCTTTTAATAGATTTCCTTGTGTTTTCCCACAACTCCATTCCTGGTAATTAAATAATTATTTAAAACGACACTGTCGCTTAAATTATCACTGGATAAAAAATGATGTTATTGGGATTACAGTTTTTCTTGTTTTTTCTTTAAACAAAGTGAAAATTATATAGCCTTATGATTGTTTTAAATAAATGATGATCCTTTTAAAAACTAAATCAATTTAAAGATAATAGAATCTGATTCAGTTATATCGGAATGGTTTTAATAATAGTTATGATTAGATTCTTTGCATACTTTATATTAGATCATTATTATTTACTTGTATAATAATGTAACCATTTTAAATGGGAGGAACTTGATCTCTATTAATATAATTGGTAAAACTTCAGTTTGCAATATGTTCTTTGAAACGGAATCCCATATGATTATTGTATTTCAAGAAAAACTGATAGAATATATTCTTTCATCAAGAAAGAGGAAAAAGATTTGTTGAAAAATCTTTTTAGAAATAGTTTTACAAACAAAATATAATAGGGAAAGTCTGATTCAGTTAAATGCTTTTGTGGATCATCATTTCATCTTCAAAACAGCTATGAAAAGAATGTAAACTTATATCTTCTATTCTTCTATCTTGAATCTACAAATCTATTTTAATGTTTCTTTATTTGTAATTAGTTTATTCTATAAAAAAGTTTTATTAATTATTATTATTATTATTAAATATATGTCATATATTTAAAATTAATATAAAAAGAAAATAAAAGTTTTTAATATAAAAAGAAAATTCTACAAAATTTAATAGGATCTGAATTACATTAACGAGGAAAGTTTCTATGTAATTAAAACTTTATTTTTTTATTAATCTGATTCTCGAGATTAAACCCATTAAAAAGAGGACTTCCAATTTCGAAACTTAATTGTTTTCAAGTTTTTTCTAAGTGTGCATTGCAGTCTTCTAGGAAGTATTTGCAGAAATTTTCTATGTATAAAGAATGCATTTACCAGAAAACTAAATAAATCTAATGCTCTTGGAGAATATACAGCAGACATAATCTTTATAGAATATTCTTTACATTATTTCAGAATGTATATTGTATTAAAGTGAATTTTCTTTTACTTTAAAAGGATGCGAGATTTAATCAAAATATCGATCAGAAGACGGGTTACACGACGAGAAGTATGTTATGTATGCCCCTCATGGATATCGATGGGGAAGTTATTGGTGTGGCTCAAGTGATCAACAAAAACGGTTCTAAGGGAGATTTCTTTAATGTTGACGACGAAATGGTGAGTTAGATAACGATTTCCTATAATTACGATGAAATATTTTCTTATATAACTATTATTCATCAAATAATTTTCTAATTTTGAATCATTATTTTAGGTTTTTGCCCAGTATCTGCAATTTTGTGGAATAGGTTTAAGAAATGCTCAACTGTATGAGCGATCCCAATTAGAAAATAAAAGAAATCAGGTATAAATACAATCATTTAATAAATCATCATTAAATATATTTAGTTACATAGTGTTCTTTTTTATTTTTAAGGTGTTATTAGATTTGGCAAGGATGATATTTGAAGAGCAAAGCACCATTGAACACGTTGTTTACAGAATTATGACCCACACGCAATCTCTGCTGCAGTGTCAAAGATGCCAAATATTATTGTTAGATGAAAGAACAAAGGTATATTTATATAAAATATTTAAATTAGTATAAAACTAAATTTTAGTTTTCTAAAGCTCATACAGATAAGAATTACGACTAACGATTTTCAAATATTTGCGAATTAATTTAAACATTAATCTGATTAAGGGTTGATGACGACATCTTTAATTAGAATTTTCACGATAAGAAAGTATTTTTTTCCAAAATTAATTAAAAATATCAGAAAATAAAGACAGAAAATAATATACCGAAGAAATAGTAGACTACCAACAAAAGAGATAAAATACATAAAGAAAAAATTTATAAAATATTAAGCAACTATTATTCTTAGCGATTTAATTATGCTGTTTACGTCGCAAGTAAATTGAAAATTTTTTGAAAGTTTTTTTAAAAAAAATCTTACCTTATTTTAAGGATAATTTTAAAATGATAAACCAATAATCATCATTAACCCATCATTTATAAATTAATGAGACATTAGTGCCTGCTTGTTAATAATCGACAGGTATGAATAAATGCTTTTATCATTAAACACTTAATACTAATTAATAATTAATGCTAATTGACCATCAGTCTTCCAGTGAACTGATTACAATATTGATAAAATTATCAATATATATATATAAAATTTGTTTCAGAATAAACGTAAAACATCCGATAAAGTTATGATTACACTGATATCAAATACAACTCATATTATTAATTATAAGAAGTTTTGTTGGATGAGAAAGATGGCATAGAGACAAGACTATGAATGATTTAGTCAACCCAATGTTAACATTAACAAAGACAAGTTTATTTTACGTCTTAGCCCATACGAGAGCAGCAGAATAAGTGTACTGTACAAGCTTTTACAATAGTTGTGAGTTACGCCACCCTTTGGACACCTGACTAAAGTACAGGTAAGGGTAGAGTGACAAGAATTCCACGAAACTCGCCACAAACAATATTCGCTACAAGTTTTAACTAAAAATAAGAACCTTCTATTCGTTTATGGATATGAATTTAATAAACAGAGATACGGAAGATAAATCAAACAATTATTCATCTGGATTTCACTATCAAAATCGATTTCTTTCATGATAATGTCACAGCACTTTGTCATCTGGTATAAATGTATGTTGGACTAACATGTTACCTCTACAGAAATTTTAAAAATATCGAAATTATCGGAATTTATTCTGAATAAATTCTAGCATCGTTTCATTAATAAACAGTAAGCCTATTATTTAAATATAATTTGATTTTTCTGAAAATTTTTCCAGCATTCTGTCGTAATAAGATGATCAGAGAGTATAGACCGTGCATCGCTCGATTATATTTACAAGAATAAAAATAAG